GCTGTGGGTGTGGCCTTTGACAAAAGGCGGAGCAGGTAGCGCATAGCGGAGCCACAGCATGGGAACAGAGTTTTGGCGAGAGGCAGTCTCAGTCTAGAGACTGGGTCTGCGTAGGAAACTGGCGGGATGGAGGGACAAGGGGTGCACGCTGGGCGGCCCATCCTTTCCTGCAGCCAGCATGACTGGAAGCGGCCCGGGAGCGGACGCACCCAGTTTACCCGCATTTTGGCACCCACAGGCCCACCCGTGCCCTCATGGTTGAAGTAGCTAGTGCAGCTGAAAGGGAGACCCCCCGACTCTGCCTCCTGGCCACCACATTGGGATAGCAAGGGTCCCAGGTTGGTGGGCAGGCCCAGGCCTAGCTACCCCAGCCTCCTCTGAAGAGGTGGTCAGGCTCACCACTCCCACTGATCCCTGGGCCAGCATACAGTAGCTTTCACTGAGCAGGACCTAACAGCTGCCAAGGGCTGAGCAGTAGGACTGGACATTTCTCCCAGGTCACTGTCATTTCCGAGGGCCCAGCTTGGGGTCCTGGCCCCTACATCCCAACTCTCCCCCTTGCTGAAGGCTCATATCTGAGGGACAGGCCCTCAAGGGCAGAGGCATCTGCAACATTAACCTGCAGTCATCCTGCAACAGTTCTGGTCAGTTCAGGCCTCAGCCCACAGCCAGTATCTCCCCAGGAGAAGGGTGTGAGTACCAGAAACTGCTGGGCCCCTGGAGTCAGAACTGCACCCCCACCCTTTCTCAGAGTCAGTGACAGGCCTGGCACCTCCTTGAATGCTTCCAGCAGCCCCCCAAGGGAAACTGTACCCACATTTTATAGCTGAGAGACCAGCAGAGTGGGCTAAGGGCCTCTCATTGCCTCCTGAACCCAAGCTTCCCAAATGCCATTACCAGGGCTACCTTTGCTCTAGCCCACCCACCACCACCACCACCACACTAGCCCTGCCTGTTCCCTGACCAGGGCCCCAGAGCTTGCCTTGGATCCACAGAGCTGCCCCTGCAGCCAGGCTGGACTCTCGTTCGTGCGTCCTCATCCATCTTCCTCCTGGCGTGAGGTGGTGGGTTTCCCCAAGCCCTGGGGCCAGCACAGGGCCCCTGGGCCTCTGTCTCCAGGGGGCCTCCAGCCTGCAGGACAAGAAGGGGATCAGAAAGCCTGAGGGAGGCAGCAGCCCCCTGCTAAGAGGATAACGGCCATGAGATGGAGAGAACAGGACCCTCAGCACGGGTCAGGGTTAACTGAGGGCAAGCCCGGAGATGCTCCCCTCTGGAGCCAGACCCAGGAGACGGTAAGGACAGCTGTGGAGAGAGGATGCAGGGGGTCAGCCTCCCTGGAGCAGGGTGACCTGGCCCAGGACACTGGGTCAGCATCCTGAACAGGGTCCAGGCTAGAGATATGGGGACAGAGCACCTTCTGCTCAGAGCCGAGCCCTTTCAAAGACACACCTCCTCACGGTGGGCATTTTGGCGCCAGGGGCTAGCAGAGGGCTTTCCTCCAGACCTCTGAGAACCAAATAGACATGGATGAGCAGAAATGATCATGGGCATAAAAGGAGAACTTGGGAATAAGCACACCTCGGACAGAGCCTTGATGGAGACTCACCACGGTGGCTCGGTGG